TTTGATGAATCAAGTGTTCATCAGCAGTATAATGGATAAACAAATTTTAGTGTAATGGGATACTACTGTACAAAGAAAACGAAGGGGTTAATGCTACAAAGAGCAGAAGAATGAATCTCAGACATAATATTGAGTGAAAGAAGACAAACATAAAAGAGTACATGCTATATGAGTCCATTTATATAAAGTTTAAGACAAGCAACCTCATTTATGATGTTGGAAATCCAGGGTAGTGATGCCCTTTGGGGAGGTGGGGGTAGATAGTGATGGGGAGGGTTTCTGGGGTGTTGCTAATGCTCTTCTACTTCTTGAGCTGGGTGGTGGTTATATTCACTGTGTAATAATTCATGAAGCTATACATCTATTATTTGTGTACTTTTCTGTATGATATATTATATCTTTGAAAATCTAAAAATAAAAAAATAAGTGCTTTATAGCAAACAGTGTGGCCCCAAGTAAAGATGGTGTGCACTGGAAAAGCTGTCAGGTGACCCAAGAAGTTATGCACTTATGATTACACACAATTGCCATTTGTGGGACTAAATTTCCAGGACCTTGCCTCATGCTAGATATGTAGTAGACTCTCAGTAAGTCGTCATTGATGGAATCAATATCCCTTGCATTAACATGGGGTGTGCCGCTGGGTGTTGGCTGGGGACTGTCTCCAGGGAAAGTGGGGCTATTTCCGTGGGGGAGCACATAGGCCAGATTTCTCATGAAACACTTAAACCCAAAAGTAACCAAGAGTACATTTTCACTCTCATTCTACCTTATAGTGAGGTAGCGAAAGGAAAGGGTCTAGGTGTTGATATTTATTCTTCATTTGATCATTCCTGACCTTTAAAGTTACAAGATATTATAGCATAGTGTTCAAGAGCATAGGCCATAAATTCAGACCACCTGAGTTCAAATCCTGACTCTGCTACTTATTAACTGTGCAACCTTGAGCAAGTTACTTAACCTCTCCGTGCCTCAGTTTCTTCATCTATGAAATGGAGATAATGAAAGTACTTCCAGCACAGAGTTGTTGTGAGAGTTAAATAGCATAACCCATGTAACGTGTTTGGAGCATAGCTTTCAATAAATGTTTTGTAGCTAGCCAGAATGACCTGTCAGGAATGCGTGATCCTCTTTGTTAATCCTGATATCCTTGAGACCTTAGCCTTGTCACCTCCACCAGTTTCATTGGGATTGTCTTTCTCTGCTGCTTTGTTCTATGACATGGTCCCTGTCCACCTCTCCAGGCCCATCTCTTGCTTCCCGGGGCCCCATCTGCCCCAGACCACTTGCAGTTAGCTAAATAACCTTGCTGTTTGACACCTCTGTGCCTTTGCCTGTATCAAGCCCTCTGTCTGGAATACCTACCCCTTGGTTTGCCTGGCAAACTCCTCCTATTCATTCTCTTTAGTTCAAAGTTGTTACCACTTGGCTGAAGCATTGTGTCTCTCTCTGCCATGGACAGGATATTCAATGAAGTCAGGGACTGTAGCTTATTTATTCTGTGTCACTGGCGTCTAGCACAGGGACTGGTACAAGTGGATTTCAAGAAAGATGTGGAATGATGGAATGAATGGATGGATGGCTAGTGGGTGTGGGCTTTTTGCTAGCGTTATAGGTTCTAGGCAATAAGTGACTACCCCAAGGTAGGGTGTGTCCATGCAGGGTACAGCACGAGTCAGCAGCCTGATTGCTTAATAAATAATGATTTGGCTAATGAAGGTAGAGATAATAATGATAATAAAATGGTACCTGAGGCTGACCCTACTTCCTAGTGAGTCATCCTTGGCTGAGCCTGAGGACAGAGATCATGGCTGAAAGGTAGCTAGATGGTCAGTAAACAGTAGCTGAGCTGGCTCCAGACAGCCTGATCCTGGCCATGACTCACTCCAGCCCTAGGCTGGTGGCAAGAGCCAGGCCTCCAGCATCCCACAGCCCTGAGGTGAAATCCCAGCACAGTGATCTACCTAGACCTTGAGTAAGTTGTACACCTTGTCTGAGCCTGTTTCCTCCTCTGCCCCCCTGGTTGATGAGACACAGGTCCCACTCCTAAGATGCTGATAACAGAGAAATATTATTCCGCCTTTGGAAAGCCTGTAATCTCATGGAGAAAGCATTATTTTCCTTATTACACTGTACTACTGTACTACAGTTCTTGCTTTAGTTTTGCTCTATTTGTCTTTTTTTTTTTTTTCTAGCTGAGCCATCCTGCTACCTGTTGGCAGCTCAGCGGCTGCTCAGCTCGGGCTGGACTCGAACTGCTGTTGCTCAGAGCTCAAACTCTTGAGCGAGCTCTTAACCAACTAAGCCACTCGGCCGGCCCTTCTATTTGTCTTTATAGTCCTCCCAGAAGGCTTGGGTACAGACGAGAAGCAGACTCCCCAACGATGAGAAATGTAGCTCCCCAAACCACAGGGAGGAGCAAGGAAGAAATTTGAAAAGGGGTAAGATAGGGCTGATAAAGGAAGCTATTTGGATGATGGAAACAAGTTGTAGAGGAGCACTTTTATTTTTTTAAAGATTTTATTGGGGACTCGGGGAAGGGGAACAGATGAGTTACTATCCTTTTGTTCTTCAGGCTAGTTGTGGAGGACGTCATTTCACTGGCCCATGTTGGCATTATCATTGCGCTCTTCCAGGGTGAGGCAATCTCTCACCGGCCATTGGACGGCAGCTCACGGCGACTCACAGCAGCCCAGCTCCAGGTGGAGCTGTTATTCACCATCTTAGCTGTAGAGGGCAGTGTCACTGGCCCGCAGGTGGGATCCGAACCAGGGCCCCGCTGCTCAGAGCTGGCGTCCCAAACCAACTCCTAACCAATGCCACTCGGCCAGCCTCAGAGGAGCACTTTCTAATTAATGGTTTTCAGGGTTAGCAGAGGGGAGGGGTGAGAGGCAGAAAGACTCAGCCTGAGGGTTCAGAGAGGTGCAACAGTAAACTAATGGGATCAGTGTGTGAAGGGTCTTAAAGATAGAATAACCTAGAATCCTGGGATCTGCTGGATTTGGATCCTACTGGGAGATGAGGTATCTGCTCTTGAAAGAGTTGCCTCCTGCATCTGCAAGGTGAGATGGGGCCATGTGTGCCAAAGTTTTGGGAAGAGCAGGGCAGGGAGAGGTGCCTGAAGTCTGGGTCTAGGGGGTTATGTGGGGGGTGGTAAGCGGGGGGAAATGCAGGGCTTGTTGTGAGCTCTAACGGATGCTTCCATTTGGGAGTTTGATTAGATCTTGGCCGGGAGGAGTGTTGAGAAGAGCAGGGCCTGGCTCAGAGGAGGGTGGCTGTTGGGGTCACCATGGGGAAAGGGGATGGTTGGTTAGTTGAGGTCCTGAGTCCCAGGCAGAGCAGTTTGGCCTGGATTTGCAGGCTCTGGGTAGACCGGGGAGATGTGCAGACGCAGGTCTACCTACTTTGGGGGCCAATTTTCCTTTTCCTTTGACACACAGAAGATGGAGAACATGCCCTGGTGTGAGGGTATCTCCGTGGTATGTGTCCTACCCTCAGGCACAGGGTTGTATGTGTGATTGTCTTGCCAGGGTGCTTGTCTCTCTGGTGTGAATGTGGTTGGGTCTGTTGTACGTCACTGAGTGAGTGTATTTGTATTTCCATGCTGCGCGTGGGTGGATGGAGGGTCTGTTTTATGGGTCTGCGTAGGCATGTCTGAGTTGTACGTCTTAGTTTGTGTGTGTGTGTGTGTGTGTGTGTGTGTGTGTGTGTGTG